GCCTTCGGTGTTTAGTCATGCTGGCCACATGACCATGGAGACGTCTTTGGACAGCGCTGGCTTTTCGGTTTTGAAACGGAGATGAGCACCGTCCCCTAGAGTCGGGAACAACTAGCACATATGTGTGAGAAGAACCCTTGCCTTTACCTTTAGGACCTTATAGCACTCTCTGGGCAATTTACAATGTAGAAGCATTATTTGCATATTGTCCCCAATAATCTGGGTCCTCATTTTACCCACTGCAGGAGGAGGGAAGTCTGCGTCAACCTTGAGCCCTGACACAATCGAAGTCCAGGCTGTGGACAGAGTTTGCTTGCAATACTGCACTTTAACCCTGTACCACCAGGGCAATAACTCGAAGGTCGTTTTTTAAAAAAATCTAAATCTGGCACCATGATTTCTTGGCCCTGTTTTTAAGATCATGAGACTGACCTTGACTGGGTAGCACATGACTCTATGATGGGAACTAAATGTGTGTGATTTTCACAGATTTGCAATTCTGTGGAGATTTTCCCTCCCCTTCTCCTTTTTTGAGTAGATGAGTGGAAAAAACAACTAGAAGAGGGTTAGCTCAGAATGAGCTCTAAACTTGTAGACTTCTTAATATGAAGGAGAAATAAAAAATATCTTACCAAACTTCTCAAATAGCCAAGTCTGGGAATAGCAAAAGCTCATTTTCACAAAAGAACTACCATTTTAGTCTAGTAAGGTAAAATTAAAGGTTCCCCTCACACATATGTGCTTAGTAGTTCTCAACTCTGGTGGTGCTCATCTGCATTTCAAAGCAAAAAAGCCAGTATTGTCTGAAGACGTCTCTGTGGTCCTGTGGCCAGCATGACTAAATGCCAAAGGCACATAGAATGCTGTTACCTGGTCGCTGTTTTTCTACTTGTATTTTTACATGCTTTCGAACTGCTAGGTTGGCAGAAGCTGGGACAAGTAATGGGAGCTCACACTGTTACAGGTGCTAGGGATTCAAACTGGTGACCTTTCTGATTGACAAGCTCAGCATCTTCACAGTTCTGGGAAAGAATAAAGGGTCAGAGCCACCCAAACCTTAGGGGAGATTGTTCCAAAAGTCAGGGGAAGCAACAGAGCAGACATGTCTTCTAGGTCTCATTAGACGGCTACTTCAGGCAAATGACTGTCTACCTTGGTGTGTAATTTTGGGACCGTCAGAAATAACAAGAAGTAGATGGTCCTGAAAATAACAGCCCTGTTCCATACAGGGATTTATAGATGATAACTAACTTTTGAATCATACCCAGAAGCATATCAGGAGCCGTTGCAATGCACAGAACACAGTAGTGGTTTTACATGGACATACTAATATGTCTGCACTACTGCTCTCTGGACCAGTTGCAGGTACTGGATAATCTTAGAAGGCCGTCATTTGTAGAGAACACTGCAGAAATCCAACAAGGAGATGACTAAGGCATGAATGACAATGAACAGGGCCTCCTGATCTAGAAATGGGGGCAATTTAGGCAGAAGATAAAGTAGTGCAAAGGCCTTCCTGGACATACCCATATTTTTCAGAGTATAAGACGCACCGGGGTATAAGATGCACCAAGGATTTGAAGAGGCAAATTTTTTAAAAAAGTTTTTGCACTCTGCAAACCTCCCAAAATTGGCCCGTTTTTCGCAAAAATAGGCCCGTTTTTTTTAAAAGGGCATGAATAGCCTTTAGGAGGCTTGTAGAGTGCTCCGGGGGGGGGGGGGAAATGAGCAAAAAACAGCCCGTTTTTCACAAAAACAGGCCTGTTTTTGTCAAAAAAGAGACATGGATAGCCTTTAGGGGGCTTATAGAGTGCTCCTGGGGCTGGAGGAGGCTCAACTGAGCAAAAAGCAGCCTGTTTTTGCTCATTTCTGCCCTCCCCAGCCCCAAGGAGCACTCTGCAAGACTCCTAAAGGCTATGCACGGCCATTTTGGTAAAGGGGCAGGGTTTTGGGAGGCAAAAAATGCTGTATTCAGTGTATAAGACACACCCAGATTTTCAGCCTCTTTTTTGAGAAAAAAAAGGTCCGTCTTATACTCTGAAAAATATGGCTGTCACCTGTTTTTCATAGGAGCTGTGAGTCCAGGAGGAACCCAAACTATTCACCAGCTTTGAATCAAGGAATGCAGTTGCACCGAGAACCAAAGATGAAAATCCCCAGATCAGAATCCAAATTCCATATCATAGCTTGAAAAACAAGCCGATAAAGCAAAGTTTGGCTGCAGTTTGAGTACAATTAAAAAAATAGTATTATTGCAATGGATTTTAATCTCAACTGGCAATGGGCAAGAAAAAGGAGGGGGAGCAAAGATAATCTTGGCTGAATTCAGGAGCAGTTTGTATGCTTTGATAGATTGCCTTAATAACCGGGGGTGGGGGTGGGGGAGAATCCAACTCAAAGATTCAAGTTCCAGTCCAACCTTATTGTATTATGTCTTTTATAAAATCCTAGGAACACACAGCAAGTTCCTATGATAATCTCCATGGGCAAAATACATCTTGGGAATACCGCACAACATAACCATTCCTAATATTTCTTACCTTATTCCTGGCGTTAGCTGGGGTGGATGCTCTGATATTAATTTCTGCACTTGTTCGTAGGAAGGTCGTATGAGGCCTAGTCGCGCAGTTAAAGCTGCCTTGAACGTTACTGAACCTCCCATTGCTCTGCGAGTCCTAAAGTAGAAGTCAGAGAAATTCATGTCAGGCTCTTAAGGAAAGGAGAAGGATCTCCTGAGGAGTTTCAGTACACAAATGTGATAAACTAGAATGTATTGTGGAAATCCACTGAACATTTATTCTGTGATCTAAGATTATAAGGGTTCCCCATTGTATCAAACCATACTGTTTTAGGCAGTTCATTCCTTATAGTGGCCAAATACATGTTTATGGAATCCATAAAGAGGATAATACTGACTTTTTCAAGCTGCTGTTCAAAAGATGGAACCTGATGTTCACTAATGCTAGGTTTATTTATTATTCTTTTGTTTAGAACATTTATATGGTCGCTCACTCACTCTCAGAGACTTTGGGTGGCTTGCAAAGAATAAAAACCTAATATAAAAAAAAAAACCAAAAACTCTCCACCCTGTTCCCCTCTGGTGACAGCACATTCAAATGAGACACTTGATGGGATCCATTCCACTCTGGATTCTCTTGGCCCATGGGGAAAACAATGAAACGTTGTTGCTTGCTTCAGTGTTTTTCAACCTTTTTTGTGCAAAGGCACACTTTTTTCATGAAAAAAATCATGAGGCACACCACCATTAGAAAATGTTAAATTTTTTTAACTCTGTGCCTATATTGACTATATTTAAAGTAATTCTCCCACGGCACACCTTACACTATGTCACGGCACACTAGTGTGCCGCGGCACAGTGGTTGAAAAACACTGGCTTGCTTTTGGGCCAAATAACAATTTAGATCGGGGGTGTCCAAACCTGGGAACTTTAAGACTTGTGGACTTCAACTCCCACAATTCCCCAGCCAGCCATGCTGGCTGGGGAATTGTGGGAGTTAAAGTCCACAGGTCTTAAAGTCCCCAAGTTTGGACACCCCTGATTTAGATGAATAAATTTCTGTGAATGTTGCCTCAATCCCAATCACCTGTAACTGCTATTTCAGTGTTAAAAATGGCACATATGGCATTTCTAGTATGATCCTTAAGTGGTTTTTTAAAAGAATTAAAAGTTCTTATTGTTATGCAACGTAGTTATGTGTAAATACTTGGTAAATGCCCTGTGTTCTTGTACCACAACAGTGTTAAATAGTTTCTCAACTACACCCAGTGCAGGCTGGCATTTCTCTTTCATTATTAAAACAAAAAACACCAGAAACTTGCACGGCTGGTTTAACTAGAAGTAGCAAGAGGACAGTGGAAAAAAAAATACATAAGTATTAGAGGCAATAACAACACTGCAGCTGTGGTCAGCAACTTTTTGGACAGACATGACCAGCTACAGGAACTTTTCACATCCATTGTCAATTCACACTGTGTTCTGGCTTGGGCAAGCAGAAGATCCAACAGAATCTCTCACCATTTAGGCCTGGTCCTGAAAATGCCAGATACTGATCACAACATAGCTATTTTGTAAAGTATCTTTACAAAAATACTTTACAACATAACTATTCTAAAAGTTTACCATAGATGCATTTCTAAACTGTATATTAAAGTTGTGCCAGAGATACTCAAAAATCCGCATGGCATTATGAAACAAATCTTACAGGAAGCTTAATTGAATCTCTCATGATTTACTATATATTATCACAAAAGTTTCAAATCCACACAGACATTGAATGTTATACTGAAGGTATGATTATAAAGGCCTTGGACTGATAATAAAATTATACAAGCTTTTTTTTCATCACAGAGCTACCTCATATTATCTTTTCATCTTTGCACATATAGACTCTGATAATGTTGTCTGCATTATTCAGTGAAATGCCAAAGCAAGCAAAAGCACAGGCAAACTTTGGAGTTACTTTGTAAGTCATATTGAAGAGATGCAAAAGACAAAGCTGGCTGCATAACTAAAGACTTAAGATACCATACTGGGGGGGGGGGGGAGTTAGTAGTGTTCCAGTTGTGCCATGAACCAGCTTCCAATGAGATAATAAAAAGGTAAAGGTTCCCCTTGCACATATGTGCTAGTTGTTTGCGACTCTAGGGGGCAGTGCTCATCTCTGTTTCAAAGCCAAAGAGCCAGCGCTGTCTGAAGACGTCTCCGTGGTCATGTGGCTGGCATGACTAAACGCCAAAGGTGCACGGAACGCTTCTACCTTCCCACCAATTTTTCTACTTGCATTTTTACATGCTTTCGAACTGCTAGGTTGGCAGAAGCTGGGACAAGTAACAGGAGCTCTCGGTTACACGGCACTAGGGATTCGAGCCACTGAACTGCTGACCTTTCTGATCGACAAGCTCAGCATCTTAGCCACTGAGCGTCCCTTTAATGAGATAATAGATGAACTCAAAATGAATATATGTTGTCATATCAATATATTTAAAGCAGTGGTTTGATTCAGTCAAAGAGAAGCAATATTCCTTGTTTAATTTTCCTGCCTTCCATCTTCTTGACTTTAGTGTTTATGATCTGTTTCAAAACTGACTACAAAACTGGTTTCTCAGAGTAGAAATAGTTCTGATCTGAATATGCTTGTTGGATCCTTGCTCACAATTATCTGCTCAAGAAGCTCCGTACATGATCTGATTAAGCTCTGATAAAACTAAGCAATTCTCATCCAGGACTTTAGATGGGCAACCAAACCCAAACATTAAACCTACAAATTTAATGTATTTAAATAAATTGTTAGCTTTTTGTTGGTAAGAGCAGTCACCATTGCATACAGCCCAGTGGCTTTGGACTCCTCAGATTTAGGTCAAACACCCAGTCTTTTGGGTGAACAAATTTCCATCTCTGTGCCCCAAAGGTGCTTTTTCAAAAGACAGCTGGACTTTCTTTGTTTTTCGTTAAAGATGTTTCGCTTCTCATCCAAGAAGCTTCTTCAGTTCTGAAGTGAAGAATTGGACAACAGAACTGAAGAAGTATCTCGATGTCTGCTCTCTCTTCTCAAAAGCATCAAGCAAGCCACAATTCATACTTACATTTCTGCCACCGCATCTCCAACACCACAGAATTTTGCCAGTTCATCGATGCCTTCTTCTTTAATGACTGTGCTGTCCACATCGAAGCAAATGGCATCGGCATTGAGGAAGATTTCCTTCATCTCCATGATAGAAGACATCTTTTTGGGAACCTTCCTGTTATGTGAAAGATAGATGAAGTCATTCTGGATGTTGCCAGCCTGTAACCTCAGTTGGGCCATCTTCGAAGCAGATCTGTGGCTGAAAGCCCTGTGTTGAGAGGGGACAGCTAATGCCGCAGCTCTTTTTTAAGCAAGAACAGGGAGCAGAGGAGGGGGGTAGAGGAAGCTGCTGATTTGCTGGCTTCAGGGGCAGCAGCAATATGGGCAGACAATCAAGGTTGCCCTCCCTACTGAGTTAACCATTCCCGAAACTTTCACTGACACAGCCCATCTGAGGTACCGCACCCAACATTTAATAAAGAGAAGGATTTTTCCACTAGAGTGGCCGTCTAGCTTACTCTTTGTTACCCAAAAATTCCACAAAATGAATTTTACCTCTTGAATAAAAATAACCACTAAAAGAATCCATCTTAAATTGATTGAAGGCAAAGTAAATAATCATTTTTGATATCCCAGGGAATGAAACCAGAGCTTTAAAGTTTAACGAACAAACAAGAGGAAAATTAAAAGGAAGTATTAAAGTGTATAATTATGGCGAAGGGGGAGAATCAGCACCATGAGGAAAAAACAAGAGTTTTTCATCAGCAACTGGAATGGGACATTTGTCTATATAATGATAATAAATGATTGCATCAGGAAGATCCACTCAGTCACAAGAATAGGAACTGTACAAGATCTTCTTAGGGGATTTTTTGTTTCACACCTCTCCCATTTTTGGATCTACTGTGAAAGTCCTGGTCATTAATGTGTCAAAATGTAGTGAAGAAGTTGGGAAGCCAATGGATGGGAGCAAAATGATAAAGGAAAATTTAATTTTTTTCTGTCATGATCCAAACTTTTACAGCCCAGATAGTGTATGCTACCTTTACTTCTTACAAAAAGACCGTGACCCGACAAAACCGCGCTCGACAAAACCATGTCGCCAAAACCGCGTCGCCAAAACCGCGATGTCATCAACTCGCCCACAACAGCGCGCCCACAACAGCGCACTGACAGAAGCGTGATTTAAGTTAAGGTAAGGGTTAGGTTCAGGGTTAATTTTAGGGTTAGGGTTAGGGTTAGGGTTAGGGTTAGGTTTACAGCGCGCTTCTGTTGGCGCCCTGTTGTTGGCACGCTTCATCGCTCATTCGTCGGCGCGGTTTAGAACTCGTGGTTTTGTCACCGCGGTTTAGTCGGGCGCGCTTTTGTCGGTCGCCCTTTTGTCGGTGAACCCAAAAAGACATGTGGACTCCAGAATAAGTTGCTCAAGGAGCCAATCCAGACACCTTTATTTAATGTGTTTTGCTCCAATATGGAAAGTGGCACAAAGTATAAATCTGATTGTCCCCTTAGTTAGCCTCCCACAGATGTAGCGAGAGTTTCCTAGATGAAGAGAAAAAGAGAACTTTTCATCAGATAAGGTGATTAAGAAAAAAACGTACAAAAACCGACTGATTTTGGAAGTATCTCTTGGTTTTATTGTTGGATGAAGAATGAACAAGCTTCCATATATGCACAATGGGACCCTTCATATACCTGGGTGAATCACATTGTCTCGTACTTATGAAAAATTGCCCTGTCTCCTTTGTTCTAAACATACATTATTATTTTCTACATGTTTTTTAAGACTACCCTGGTTGAGGCAACCAGATGTCTGGTCATTCTTGCTGGCCAGGCCAAAGTGTCAATGGAAGGAATAATAGAATAACAAAATTGGAGGGGATCTTGGAGGTCTTCTACTCCCAACTCAAGCAGGAGACTCTATATCATTCTGGACCAATGGCTGTCCAATCTCTTCTTAAAAACCTCCAGTGATGGAGCAGCCACAACTTCTGAAGGCAACCATTCCACCGATTAATTATTCTCACTGTCAGACAATTTCTTCTTAATTCTAGGTTCTTGTCTTGTCCTCAGGTGCCTTGAGAGTAGGGTGTTCACCTCTTCTTTGTGACAGCCCCTCAAAAATTAGAAGACTGCTATAATGTCATCCCTAGTTCCCATCTTCTCTTTGTTAGACTAGTCATATCCAGTTCTTGTAACCATTCAGCATGTTTCATCCTCTAGCCCTCTAATCACCTTTGTTGCTCTTCTCTGTATTCTTTCTGAAGTCTAGAGGAGATCTTGGCAACTGGAAGGGAGATCCTGGCTAGATCATAGCTTCTGCTGTGTCATCACCATTAACTGCCTCAATGTGCCACAAATTGTGCACATAGTAAAGCTTACATGAGGAAAAGATGGGAAATACCACTTATAAATCAGATCAGATCAAAGTTAGATGACCTATGGATGTGTTGGGATAAGAAGAAGGCTGCATCATGAGGAGGGGTCTTCAAAGAACAGTTAAGTGAAGCATCTTCCAACCAGGTAGGAGAACATGAGAAAGTGTTGAAACTTAGCTTGTATCTAAGAATATTTTTAGAGATTTTCATTGCTTTTTGTTTCACTGTGGGCTAATTATATTTTGCAATATACGAATAGACTAGTTTTTATGCTAGTAAAGGTGATGGCTAAACATAAAGAAACCTTACAAACTTCACTCTGACATTAAGAAGACACAGACTATTGGTCCCAGTATATCCTGGTAGGATGTGACAATTGAGGCTGTTTGCTTTAAGCAAGACAGAATCTGAGGTCAGAATCTGAAAAGAGGCAATTATGATAAAAGGAAAGGATCTGGGAAAGTGTTGAGAAAGAGAACTTCACATTTGCTCACTAGCAGCCTTGATTTGCTGATGGCTTCCAAATGTTCTGTTTGTTTTAAGCCAGAGAAGACAGAAGAGAGAGCTTTGACTCTGGGGCAGAGTTGGAACACCGTGCAACATGACGCATTGTTACACAATGCCATGAAAAAGACACATGCTCACAGCTTTGGGGTACATCCAGCTGTTTTTTTCCAGCAATACGAAAGGATAAACATCCAACCAGAACTCAGTCTCATGTAACCTGGCCAACTTTGACAGGGACATGCACCAAGCTGTCTGCGTCACCCTGTCTCCGAATCATGATGTAATATCTGCTAATCAGAGCTGGATTGCAATAGGGACTTTTGGTGATAAAGGAAAACATGTGCCTGCCATGCAGTGATATTTTACTGGCCCACACTGCTATTTGGGGAGGAGCTTTATAAACATATACCTGACCATCCATGGAAAAAGTGGTTTTTAAGACCTCAAATGGATTTTTAAAACTGCTGAAATTTTGAGAGATTACGTACTAAATTTGACAAGCTTACTTGACATCTCCAAAATTCATGTAAGTACACAAAATCGCACAAAACCTGGCAATTGTTTAAAATTATACCGACAATCTTTAATTTTCAATATTACACATTTTATTTAGAGTTGGAGTTCTGTAGATGCTATCTAGAGAGCTGTGAGTATTTTGGCACACAAAGATGTGCAAAAAACCTGGCATAAACAGGTAGGACTTCCCCACTCCCCCCCCCCTTTTTTTGTTTTTCAGAGTTTTTGTAAGGTACTGAATGCTGAGCTAAAATATGAACATAGTTATTTCTCAGGCCCATTTTTTTCTAACCACAATTATGCAGAAATTTCAAAACAGCTTACTGCTGAAATACAGCCGTAGGTGGTTTGCTGTGGAAAACCAGTATTACTACCCGTTTTAAGCAGCCAAACAAGATGGCATTTATGGGCCGCACCAGAGCTTCATGGGTTTGCTGTATGTCCTCTGGACTATCCACTGATACCATAAACCAAAGATGAGAAATTTGCTGATGCCTGGTAGCTGGGTTCTCTACCAGATGGGTTCCCTTTGGATATTAGAGGCTTTTCAAACCCTCTAGGGATGGGAAAGCTTTGGCTGGCTCCGAAAGAGGAAGATATGGCAGACAAATGTGCCAGAACATTTAGTCCAACTGCACCTGAAGTTGGGAAAATTTAATTTTCCAAGGGTACCCAAAAATGTGGAAATTTGAAACATGCCAGTGCTGGCTTGTTGTTGTTCCTGTATGAGCAGTTCATGTGGGAAACTGGGAGTGCTTAATGCTATCTATAGAGGGATAGGATTTGGAGTTAGTTTCCCCGCACTTTATTTGGTTGGGAGGTTGTTAACTTTTTTATAGGTATGAACCTAACAGATACATAACTCATCTATTTCCCTGCAGGAAACTGATTGAAAATTTAAGGGATTTATTTGGTGGTTTGAGACTGAAGTTCAGCAGCATACTCCTGATTGGCCTCTACAGTGTCCCAAAAAAGGATTTCCGATGAGGCATACCTACCCCTAGTGTAAGCCATAGTTCATATACTGTACATTGTCAGGGACATAATACAATTATACTGAGCGAGCAACCGTAGGAAGTCTTTCCTCACCAGTAGAAGGAAAAATTGGACTACTTTCCTTTTGCATATCAATTCTCTCTTACATAATTGAGCAGATGGCGGCACACAGCGGGGCTTCCAAGCAGGCTCCCCTCCAGGGTTGGGTTAGGCCTCTTCGGATCATCTCCCAGTCAGGGATTAAGATCTTGCACCACAGAGGCTGGGACTTTAAGAAATCTAAAAGCAAAGTCTTCCTTATTTTAGAAAGGTGCACTTTATTGCAAACCAATGCAGATGATGTTGTTTTCATGTGTACTGATTATATAGGAAAATGTATGCAAATATAGCTCTTCGTTCTTGGGTTTGCTTGCCTACGGGAGATATGCAAATAGCTCTTTATATATCTTGGTTCTGATCTCTGGAAAAAGCTCCTGCTTCCCTCCTTCTGAGATTTTGCCATAATTTAAATCAATTAAATCAGATATGGGTATGTCTAGTTTAATGAAAAGAAGGACTAGGGGAGACATGATAGCAGTGTTCCAATATGCCAGGGGCTGCCACAAAGAAGAGGAAGTCAAGCTATTTTCCAAAGCACCTGAAGGCAGGACAGGAAGCAATGGATATAAATTAATCAAGAAGAGAAGTTACCTAGAACCAAGGAGAAATTTCTTGACAGAACAATTAATCAGTGGAACAACGTGCCTCCAGAAGTTGTGAATGCTCCAACACTGGAAGTTTTTAGGAAGATGTTGGAGAACCATTTGTCTGAAGTGGTGTAGGGTTTCCTGCCTAAGCAGGGGATTGGACTAGAAGACCTCCAAGGTCCCTTCCAACTCTGTTATTCTATAAGCAGATACGATTGAAGAGGATAAAAAATAATTGATCTCCAGAGCCTTAGATACCCCAA